GCACGCCGGTTACCACGCACACCACTTACCACGCACACTGGTTACCACGCACGCCGGTTACCACGCACACTGGTTACCGTCCCCATGGTTCTGTGTTTGCGAATGGGGCTAGGGCACGGGTCAGTCTCTGCCTCCCATCACTACCACCAAGCTGGTGTTCAAAGGTTGGATGGCTTGGCAAGCCTGAGCGAGGACACTGCCCACCCTGTGGGTGCCCTGTGAGTGACCAGTGAGGTGCCTCCATCCACACCGCACCGTGAGGTCCAGCGGCCGGGGGAAAGTGTGTGACCTGGGGGTTCCCCAGGACAGTAAGACTTGTGGTGATTGCCTCGGAGCTCTGTGCTGTTGTGAGGCCAGCGTCTCACTGACCATGCGACCACACAGTCCACCTGATCTCTGTGGCTCTGTTGCAAACGTGAGTGCAGTGGCCTAACCCATGTACCCAGCCGGCAAGAAGCAGTCACTCACCATGGGAACCGAAGACCATGGCAGGGAACTTGGATTTAGATGTTTCCTTAGTTGTTCAACGTGGTCTCGAAGCCCCTGGATAAGTAGAACAGAGTATGTGTCAAAGAACCTGTCCCCTGAGTAAACATTTCACTGGAAACAGATACAAGTTTGTGCTAATTCAGCCCATTATGGAAGATCCACAAAGTTGAAAATGATCCAGGAGCCTCTCATGAAACTGCTGAGCATACCACTGAGGCAGCCCGCCCTGCTGTGCACTTTCATCCGGGTAGGAGACCCCTCCTAGAAGGCATTTGGAAACGGGGGAGGGGAGTTCTTTTAGGCGGCTCCGGGACTGGGGCACTTCAGTGAGAGGGCTCAGGACGCCAGGAGCCCTGTGCTGTCGGGAACCCACGGCCCCAGTGAGGAGCTCTGGGGTGATGACAAGCAGGCGACACGCACACCCCCAGGGTGCTGATGCCGGTCACATGTTTGCCTTTCACGCACTCCCTTCTCGGCCTCTGTAGGAAGACGGTCAGCGGGCACTGTCCAGGATGTCCGCATGCTCATTAAAAGTATCTTATCGTTTATGGGGGGCTTTGGGAAAGAGGGAAATTCTGGTGCACCCCCAGATCAGTACTCGGGTGGCAGCATGAGCCATGAGGCAGCACCTGCCGCTGGCGGCTGGAGTCCTCGGCGCCAGCGGGTCGCTGGCCTTGGCATGCCACCTGGGTCAAGTGTACAGCGGCAAGGGCCTGGGGTCCTGGACGGACCCTGTGGAAAGGCCAACCGCCCGGACTCCGGCCAGAGGGCTGCATTGGGAGAGCTGGCCGCAGGAGGTCCGGCCCGGGCGTGGGTGGCAGGTCGTGCAGGCGCGTCCCTGCTGGTTGAGGCCACTTTACACATGGCCATCTCCACCCTCCAGCCCCAGGGCACTGCTCACTTTCTGGGGTCGTGGGTTCCCGACAGCACAGGGCTCCTGGCGTCCTGAGCCCTCTCACTGAAGTGCCCCAGTCCTGGAGCTGCCTAAAAGAACTCCCCTCCCCCGTTTCCAAATGCCTTCTAGGAGGGGGTCTCCTACCCGGATGAACTTTGAGTCGGGAGCGGACCTGCTTCAGAACGTTTGAAACCGTTTCTTCTAGACTCCTATCGATGACTTGAAAAAATGGTCAATAACATCCTTTTTGTGTTAACTGTTAGCTTTGGTTTCAGCAAGTGACATTTCTCACTGTCCTCAGAATTTAGTGTCCGAACTCCCGGGCACGCACTCTGGTCGTTTATATGGCTAAAAGAGGGTGATGGCCACTGGCGGCCGTCGGTACAAGTTCCTTGCTGGTTCCGTTTCTGAGTCAGTAAACTCTAAAGGGAAAAAGCACATCCAGGGGCCTACATTACCCCACTTTTGAGGGTGATCTGTCCTTGGGGCTTGTGAGTGGCCCTTGGAGCTGTGTCCATTATGGAATATTTGGTTTTGTGGCTACTTTCCCATCGCCAGTACGCGCTCTTGGCACCATAACTGAGGGAGATAATTGCTTGATTCTGGGTTTCATAATAGTCGTTTCGACATCCAAGAAAAAAATACTGTCATCAGGAAAAGAAAGCGCAACTTAGTTTTGCCTATTTTCCTACGATGGAAGAGCTTAAAATAGGCCTTATCTTCTAAGGCAACACCACTTCTTTCATGTGTGGGCTGGAGTTGGAGGGAAACTTTTTTTTTTAATCTGGAAAAGAAGACTCACTTCGGCCCAGTGAGTCAGCCGGAGCAGTCAGCGGCATGAGCCTGAAGTCTCGTCACCACGGCCTGGTGCGGGGAAATGCCCGGTGGGGACGACTCTTGCTTCCGGAGGGAGGACTCCCGTGGCGCTGACTTGTCTGTCCCAGGCGCGGCCACTGTGCGCTGAGCCTCACTGGGCTGTGGCGGAAAGGACTGAGGGTCATGCCACCCCGCTGCCTGCATCTTTATTTCATCTGAAAACTAGTGAGCCCAGGCGTGTCCCAGCGCGCGGCAGGACTGCACCGGGACAGTGGCAGACCGGCCAGGTTTGTGTGTTGGTCATGCGCTTGCAAGTCTGGCTCTTTTCAAAATTTGAAGACTCCTTGGTTGGAATGCGTTTTTTTTTTTAAGATTTATTTATTTGTGCATACAGAAGTGGGGTACAGGCCAGAGGCTCAGGGGCGGCGAGAGGCTTCACCAGAGACAGAGTGGGGAGCAGAACAGGCAGATCGACAAAGTCCACAGCTGAGGGGAGCAGCGAGCGGGTCAGGAGAGGTCTGCCGCGCCCTGTGGTCACCTCCGGGGCAGGCGGGAATCGAACTCATGCGGAAGCGGCTTTAGCGGGTTAAAGTGCTGCGCTTTAACCCGCTGCGCCACCAGGGAGGGCCTGGAATGCGTTTTTTAACCAACAACGACTGACTGGCACTGTCTTCAGGCCACCTGTGGCCTCGGTCGCCTCCACCTTCATGATCCTTCGGCCAGGCAGGCCCTGTGGCGCTCTGCCGTTTTGCTTAATTTTTCAAACAATTTTGCAAGTTTCTGCTGTTGCACGCGCTTGCACACCCTGGGCTTTAGTCACCTGTGTTCGGGCAGCGAGGGCCACCGGGTGCCCAGGCTGCACAAGCTGAGGCTCCGTGTGTGTGTGTGCGTGGGAGCACGTGTGTGCGCGTGGGAACATGTGTGTGCGCGTGGGGGCAGTTGGCGTGAGAACAGCCCCGTGGAGCACCCCTGCCACCCGCTAAGCAGCCGGTTCCCGGGGAAGGCGGAGGTGCCGGGGAAGGGGACGGGACCCGGCTCAGCTCTTGTCTCGTGTTTTCTAGATCAATGTCCGAGTCACCACCATGGACGCGGAGCTGGAGTTCGCCATCCAGCCGAACACGACAGGAAAGCAGCTCTTCGATCAGGTTGGTCTGAGTTCCCGAGAGAAGATCCTGAGAGAAGATCCGCTCTCACTTAGAAAAACGTGTTTGCCTCTTCCGAATGGTTCGCTTTGCTGAGCCTGCTCCCGGCGCTGCCCGGGGGCGGGGGGCGCGCACCCCTGCCATCTTGCCCAGGCACCCCCTGCTCACCCGGGCCCTGGCCTCCGTGGTCCCCGGCCGGCTCCCACGGGCGGCTGGCGGAGGGTCAGCTGTGTGGCTGGTGCCGCCGGGCCGGGCGGAGCCAGGCAGCCCCCGCCAGCGGCTCCCTGGCCCTTTGCCCAACCGGCCAGCCCTTCGGCCCTTTCCGGGGCCCACCTCATCACGCTCGCCTCTGCCCAAAGCATTCTGCACCGGTAAACATGCAGCAAAGAAAACCTAGTGGAACTAAATAGAGTTGAGCTGTTCATCGCCATACGTGACTCCGTGCCCCGGTGCGAAGTTCTCTTGGGAGGGTGTGCCAGGCACCGCCGAGTGGAAAGGCTGCCTGCAGGCGGGGGTAGGAGGGCAGCTCTGCTGACCGGCAACCCGCGTGCTGGGCCGGGGCTAGTCTTCCTCGGCTGCTGACTCCTGCTGGAAGTTGGGGACATCTGCGGCCCCGTGCCCCACCTTGTTGGGGTGTCAGGGGCCTTGAGGTCATCGGCGAGAAAAGGTCGAAGTTCGGCGCTGTTTACGGCACTGTAGAGCTCCGTAACCGGCACTGCAGAATGCATAGGTGCAAGGTGTGTGTCGTATAGACCAGGGACACCTGACAGGTGCTGGCCCGGACTCAGCGGCCGGGCAGGAAAGCCCAGGCGGTGCCGGCCACTCAGAGACCTCTGGCCCGTGTCCCTCACACCTGCCTAAGGAAGAGCCCTCCCCCCTCGACTCCGGCCTCTGCCCGGCTCCCGGCCCCAGCCTCTCCGCCAGAGCAGGATCTTATTTCTGAATGTCCGTGCTTGCACAGAAAAGAAGTGAGGATTTAGAGAAAATAATTCAACCCCTTTGCAAAGCAGAAGCTGTACCAACTGTTGGGAACACCTTTTCATATTTACTAAATATGGGTCATTGTTTATATTTTTGTTAATTTATTAACTATTTCCCAGGCCAAATAATATCTCAGTTTGCTCAATCATTTTCCCAAAGATTGGAAAACACTTGTTTGTCAGGCTGCTCGTCACACGCAGCACGCTTGGGCTGTGAAGGCCCCGGGGGCGAGGCGTCGGGGTCTCCTGGCCTCTGCTCAGCTCCCCCGTCCGGTGGTGAGAGGCGGGCAGCAGACAGCCAGAGCGTGGCCGTGCGCCAATCAAATTGCAGTTACAGACTCTGAAGTTTTTATATGATTTTACTTTTCCCGGGCATTTCAGGTCTAAATATAAGACCCATTCTTAGTATTCAGGCTGCAAAATCAGCCGCGGCCTGTCCTGCCCTGCCTTACCTGCCTGGCGTGCGGAGGGACACCTGGGTGGGGCTGTCTCTTACCGAGGTGCTAAGGTGTGTACCCCAGGAGGCCAGCCCCCCCAGAGGTCGTTCAGGTGTGAGTAAGTGGAATGTGGAAACCCGGATCCCATCATGGGGTTGAGGCAGACACGGGCTCTCCGCCTTCCCCTTCCTGTCCAAGCCTCCTCCCACTTGGTGCAAGAGGGGCGAACCTGGGACCCAGGAACCTGGGGGCGAGTTTTCCATGTCTGCCCCAATGGGCAGCACAGACCAGGGCTTGAGACCTGAGGCAGTGCAGTGCATTCGAATAGGAACAGCACACCACCCCGAAAACTAAGGCGGAGCCCGGGAACAGCTCCCAGCCTGGGGGAGCAGGATCCCCTTCTGTGCTGAGGGACCCTCTCTCCGGCCGCTGGGCTGGGGGACAGGCAGCCCGTGTGCCAGCGCTGAGGACAGCGGCCTGCTTTCCCGGGAGGACCCGGGACGAGACGGGGGTCTGCACTGCACCCTTGCACCAAATCTAGAAACTGGGCTGGGTGCTGACCGGGCAAGTGGGGAGGCGAATTTTAGCAAGTTTAAAAGCAACAGGTGGCTGTTCTTTTCTTGACCATCTCTCTCCCCTGCAGGTGGGCCCCAGGGGGCGCATACCTGCACGCACGGGGCCAGCCATGCTCCGCCCGTGAGTGCACGGCTTCCTGCTGCTTGCGCATGGGGCCAGGGCAGAGGGGGTGCCTGCCGGGCAGTGGTGTGCATGGGGCCGGGGGTGCCGCAGGCAGGTGCGTCCGCATCAGGCAGGTGTGAGACGCGGAGCCTCTGGCTGTGGGCGACTGTCCCTGGCTGTCCCGTGCCGTCATTTTGGGATCATCCACTGCTCCACCTCACCCAAATAGGATAAATGTATGTACTGCCTTGGGTGGGGCTGGCCTTGGGGTAAAAATCTGCAGGTTTCTGAAAGAGCGGCCTTGAAGCCGGGTGGCGGAGCCGGCTAAGTGCCACGTGGCGCTGGCTGGACACGGCTGGCTCTCCCCGCAGCCCTGGGCCTGTGTCAGCCAGGGCCCTTGCTGCGGGTGGTCATCAAGCAAGTTTTTTGACTCAGAGGCGGCAGCTAGCTCTGCGGTGACGGCTGGTTCTGTCGTCTACTGTCAGCGTCAGGGGTGGCGTCCGTATGCACGTCACTCGTCGCCTGTGTGAGGAGGCCGCTGAAGGAATCTGTGGCATTTAGGCTAAAAAGCAGAAATGCCACTACTTCTGATAGACCCCTGCCTCTGCTCTTTGGGGGCCCCTGGGGTGGGGAGTGAGTGGGGAGCCTGCCCCCTGGGAGCTGTTTCCTCTGCCGGCCACGCCCATGTGGGGGGTGGACAAGCCGCTGTCCAGGGGTGGGTTCGGCCAGAGCATCTGGGTTGTGGCCCTGAAAATCGGCGTGACTCTGCCAGGGAGCGGGGGACGCGCATGGACAGGCCCTCACACTCGGGAGACCCCGCACAGCCAGACTGGGTGCAGGAGAGGGTGGCACGTGTGGGGGCTCTACACCCACCCGACAAGGGGGTGGCGGGGTGCCGCCGAAGGCCGCAGGGTCTGCAGGGACTGGCGAGTGCGCGGGCAGGCGCAGAGGCCGGGTCTGCCGCCCAGCGTCCACTCGGTGGCCAGCAAAACAAGCGGGGGTCTCCCAGAAGTCTCCGGAGTAGCGCACATGGAGAAGGGGGGTCTCCTGTCGCTCTGTGACGAGGGTGCGGTGACAGCCTCAGCCGCTTCTGGGTGAGCAGGGAGGGCGACAGGCCTGGCTGTGAGCCTGCAGGCCCGCTCTGCGGCCGAGGGGGAGCAGTGTGGGTGGGGTCACTGGAACTTTGGGTTGATTCTTAGGCAGGCGCCCCGATGCCTGGTGGCTTCCGTCGACGGTTGTTTCTGTGTGTAGAATGGGAACCTCTTTTTTTTAAGTATGAAAAACGTCACAAGGCCTGGGGCTCAGTTTGGTGATGTTCAGCTGGACCCCCCAGCTGCCTTTCTGACACCTGGACACAGGACGGCCAGCCCGGGCCCTTCGCAAGGGGGGGGCCCTGAGACTGGTTTTCTAGCACTGTGGAGGAGTTTCACGCGTCAGATCCTCCCGGGAACCTGGGGTTGAACTCCCCTCCCTGTGTCAGGACACGGTGTGTGTGCCGAGCACCCCCAAGCTGGCTCCCAGAAGCCCGTGGCCATCTGCGCCCCCCGTCCCGAGACCACCTTCCCCTGAGGCCAGCCCCGCGCCACGTGCCCAGAAGCCGAGGGCAGTCAGGGGCACGAGTGCTCCTCGGCTGCACGTTGGGAACCGTGAGCCCTGGTGTCCCTGGGCACACCTGGCGGGTGGCATGCTCACCTGCGGCACGCGATCACGGCGGCCTGGGCTCACTGCCCCTCACCCGGCCTGTCCTCGGCACGGCACAGGAGTGGTGCGAGTTTTGGAGACTTCCAGCTTCATCCTGAGACCGCTCGGGTTGATGTGGAAAGTCAACTCCCTCCGTGACGTGGGTCAAGCAGCTCAGGTGGTGACAGGTCCCCAGGACGCCAGTGGGGAAGGCATGGGGGGTGCCAGCGGGTGGGTGCTGGAGGCCGCTCCCCCAGGTCTCACACTGTGCCCCCCACAGGTGGTGAAGACCATCGGCCTTCGGGAAGTGTGGTACTTTGGCCTCCAGTATGTGGACAATAAAGGATTTCCTACCTGGCTGAAACTTGATAAAAAGGTAAGCAAAGGTGACCCCGCAGGTCAACCGGTGCTCTGTCCCGTTGACATGGAAACAGGGACAGGGACACCACATTCTGTCTTATTTTTTTTTTCTTTTTCTTTTTCACTGCATAGAAGTTTTATAAACGAAATGGTCCTGGGTTCCAGTACGGGGGTGTGGGCGGGGCATTAGATGCCGTGTCCACCCTGGCGCTCCCAGGCGCGGCACTGAGCTCTCCACGACCTTGCTGGACGCTGCCAACCCGCTGAGCCGGGCGTCATGGCTGCTGTGTGAGGGCTGTTAGTGCTCTGCTTGCACCAGGCCCGATGATCTTCCAGCCCTAAAGGCTGGCGCAGTCTGTGAATAATAGTAAAGGGGTGCAGAAAGCTGAATGGGCTTTTTCCAACTTGAAAACTGGCCCTTCCCCTCCCCCGCTGCCCCCCATCCCTGTGACAAGTCGGGGGGCAGCTGGCACGCGAAGGCAGAGTCCAGGCCCACGTGGGCGGACACAGGAGCCGGCTCACCGGTCAGGAGGCCAGGTTCAAGTAGTCTGAGGAGGCGCCCTGGTCCCGAGAGCTGCGGGCGGGCGCTGGAGGGCCCCGTCAGTTGGGGGGTGCTGTTATGCTTCCAGCCCAGTGTGGGGGTCAGTGGCAGACTCTGGGCCTGCCTCCTCTGGTCTTAGTGCCGAGGAGGCAGCTTTCCGGAGAAACCTCCTGAGAGCTGGCCGAGGCCCCTGTGAGAGAGCGCCGCCGGCCGGGCCTGGGCAGGTGGGTCTCGCCCTCGCCAACCGTGTGGGGCTCGGTCCCGTCCAGGTGTCCGCCCAGGAGGTCAGGAAGGAGAACCCTCTGCAGTTCAAGTTCCGGGCCAAGTTCTACCCTGAGGACGTGTCCACGGAGCTCATCCAGGACATCACCCAGAAGCTGTTCTTCCTGCAAGTCAAGGAGGGGATTCTCAGCGACGAGATCTACTGCCCCCCCGAGACGGCCGTGCTCCTGGGCTCCTACGCCGTGCAGGCCAAGTTTGCAGACTATAACAAAGACACACACCAGTCGGGGTACCTCAGCTCCGAGAAGCTGATCCCCCAGAGGTGAGCAGGGCTGGCAGGGCGGCCAGAGCCGCAAGGGCTCCTCAGGGTGGTGCTCCTTGAGGCTGGTGCCCACGGTGCTTCCTGGCCCGCGTGCACCCCCAAGCTGCCCCTCACACTGACCCGCCGGCCCGTACCCAGGGCCCAGTGACCCTCCCCAGGCTCCAGTAGAAAAGCTTGGCAGGCACCGAGGAGCCCTCGGCTTGGCACGTGGGGCCCACAGGCTGGTCCAACTCCGGAGCCCAGCACCTCGGCCCCCCTGCTGGGTGGTCAGCAGGCCTGTCTGTCACTTGCCACTGGCAGACATAAACGACTCCTTGGGAAGAAGAGGCCTCCTAAATGACTATTTTTTTGAAGATTTACTTGTTTATGCATAGAGAGTTGGGGTATAGGCCAGCGGTGCAGGGGCTGAGAGGATTCACCAGACAGAGTGGGGAGCAGAACAGGAAGATGGACTGAAATCCACTGCTGAGGGGAGCAGTGGGGAGACAGGAGGGGTCTGCTGCACCCTGGGGGTCACTCCCAGGCTGGGGATCGAATTCATGCCACAGTGGCTGCGACAGCTTCACAGTGCTGCACTTTACCCCATTGCACCACCAGGGAGGGCCCCTTCAGATGACTTTAAGAACAGTTTGCCTGGCAGGACCAGGGTGTCCTGTTCTGGCTTCTGAAAAGTCTTCAAGATGGTGCAGAAAGGCCAATCTCAGGCAGAAACGGGCGCTTCCTGTGTGTCACTGTGCGCCGTCAAGGCTGGCCGGAGGAGGTGTCCACTGTCCGTCTCACGGCCCGTGCCGTGTCCCCTCTCTCTCCAGGGTCATGGACCAGCACAAGCTCACCAGAGACCAGTGGGAGGACCGCATCCAGGTGTGGCACGCCGAGCACCGCGGGATGCTCAAGTGAGTGGCGCCCCCGGGGCTGCAGGTGGCGCGGCTGCGGGCTGCGTGCTGGTGGGGTCCCCAGCAAGGCCAGGTGCTGCTGCCTGAGGCCTCCAGGCCCGGCGGCCACTCCCTTCCTTGTCTGCAGGTGAGGGCTTGTGCACGCACCGGCGAGTGGCCCCTCCCCGCCCGCGAGGGGTGCCCGCTGCTCATGGCGGGCGGGGCTGCCCGCACGCGTGCACAGGTGGGACGCACGCTCCAGGGAAGAGGAGGGCGGCCAGGCGGTGGCGAGGGACGCGGCGGGGCCGCGCAGAGCCCGCCGTCCCGGGCCCTGCTGGCAGGGCAGTGTCTGCCCGTCCCGCCTCCCGCCGCGTGCCATTCGGGGCTCAGAGACGCGGTGTCCAGTTTCCCGCCTGGCCCGGGTGTCTGTGGAGGACAGTAACTAAGCCAAGTGGAGTCTGCCCATGAGGAGGGGTGCAGCCCGGGGCCCCGGGCTAACGAGAGGGCCTGTGCCCGGCTCTGGACTGGGGAAGTGGGCGCTCCTCTCAGGGTGGGGGCGCGCCTGGCCAGCGGAAGGACAGGCCAGAGTCCCCTTTCCGACCGCAGCGCGTGCTGACCTCTGCTGTCCCCCAGAGACAGCGCCATGCTGGAGTACCTGAAGATCGCCCAGGACCTGGAAATGTACGGCATCAACTACTTTGAGATAAAAAACAAGAAAGGAACAGACCTCTGGCTCGGAGTTGATGCCCTCGGACTCAACATTTATGAAAAAGATGACAAGTGAGTGCAGCTTCACAGGCTGCTGGGGTGGTGGGGGGGTGGGCTGAGGACGAGGGGGGCTTCTGCCCTTTCACTAGCGACGTAACTGGCCCGGGGTGAGTCTTCATGGGCACCTCACGCCGGCGCCCAGCTCAGAGGCCTGCGTCCTGCTCGCCCCAGGTCCCGTTGACCGCACGTGCAGCCAGGGCCCTGCAGGGAGCCGGGGCCCGGGGGGGCTCTGGAGGGGGCCCTTCCGCGGAGGCCCCTCCGGCTCAGCCCACCGGGGCTTGACATTCGCGTTGCTCCAACCAGGGGCGCTTTTCGTCCTGTGGGCGATGTCAGAGTCCACTCGCCGCAACGGCCCACCAGCGCGGCCGTGTAGAGCCGCCCGGGCCTCCCGCGGCCTCCCCTGCCCACCCTGTGGCCGCAGGGCCTCCCGCGGCCTCCCCTGCCCACCCTGTGGCCGCCGGGCCAGACACACAGGAAGATCATTCTGATTCACCACAGGCATGTTTTCCTTGGTGGCTCCCGGAGGCTAAGTCGATATTCTGGATTTTTCTAGTCAGTAGCAACCTGACTGTAAGAGGCAGTACCCTACTGGGAAGAGAGCTCGTGTTCCCCACGGGCCTCAGCTCGACAGGGCTCCCCCAAACACACCCGGATGGTGGCCTGAGGCTCTGGGCAGACTGAGCAGCAGTGCGCCTGGCGGGAGGCTCCGGGATCGTGGCCCCCCGGCCCTCCGACCTCCGACCTGCGTCCAGCATCGGGAACATGGGCGGTGCGGCCAGTGCCGGGTTGCCTGTGCGCGGGCCCCTGGAACTGGGGCCGCGGGGTGTCGCCCTCCCGGCGAGGCCCTCTCGTCTGAGCACCCTGGCCACCTCGCCGGTCTCCGGTGTTGGGGCTCTCGGCTCCCCAAGGCCCCGCATCCCCACCCTCTGGCATCTGTGACCAAGGGGCACCGCTTTTGACAAGTGATATCGCCGCAGCCTCTGAAGGCCCACCCAGTGGGTGTCGCCGGGTCCCCAGGCCCTTCACTGAGTGGGGGGCAGGAGGCCTGCATTCGAGGGGCCTCGCTCTCCCCTGGAGGAAGGGTGTCATTGGGCGTGACCCAGGCTGGGCTGATCAGGAAATCCCGGGGCTCTCCCCAGGGCCTCCAGGTGAGCCCCGAGGCCCCTGAGCTCCCCCCAGGTGTGCCGGCTGGGCTGCAGGGGAACAGGAGCATTCTGGGAGTGGGGGGCTCCCGGAGGCCCTGAGTCCGAGCCCGGGGCTGGCCAGCCAGCACAGAGGCTGCGGGCCCGTGGAATCCATGTGGGAATCTGCCTCTGTCTTGACCTTCTTTCTTGAATGACCAGATCCTGTAACAGCCACGCTCAGGGCAGTCCAAACAGGTTTTTCCAGCGGCAGGAAGCAGCCATAGGCAAGAACCTGCTGAAGTCAGCTGGCGGCTACCCCCAATCCACACGATGTACATTTTTCCAAGTAAAACTTCCAAGCTCAAAGGTGTCTCCTCAAAGAAAGTGATGGCCCCAGGACCCCCCCCCCACACACACACCGCCCACATCCCCAGCAAACATGATCCAGACACTCAGTCAGTCAGTACAATCAGCAGACCCAAAAGTTTTTCCTTGGAGTCAAATATTGACAGCTTGGTTGCCAGGAAGAGCAGGAGACTGGCTGGGGGCGAGGGGTGCGGGGTGCCCAGATCCCTGCTGGAGAAGCAGAGCCCGTGGCCTGGGGCTGCCCCTGCCTGGACGGCGGGGATCTTGGAGCCTTGGTCAAGCGAGGAACCCTGCACCCTACATTCTGGCCCTGGGATGGTAGAGGCTGCTACAGACACAGCCTCATTTTACTAAAATGCTTGTCTTCTTTGGTACTAACTATTCCCCGATTGGGAAAGGCTCCAGGGGTCACTCCTGACCGTGTGAAGCCACCAGGTAGCAGGTGGGGCTGGAAGCGAGGGTCTGTCCTTCCTGGGCTTAAACCCTTAGGTCAGAGGAGGCGGGAACTCGGACAGGCAGGGAGTGGGCACGGTCCGCCTGGGGCCTGCAGCGTTCCGGCCAGCGGGGCGTCCTCAGACTCATGGGCGCGAAGTGGAAGGCCCCGCCCCTGCCGCCAGCCCTTCGGCCCTTAAAAGCGCGCTTTTGTAACATGGGGAATATGTAACAGAACACGGGGACGCTGGCAAAGCACAGCAGAAGCAAACCTTGGGCTTAGTGAGAAATGCGGGGTACAGGGAGAGGGCAGGGCCGGGAGGTGGGTGGGGGTGCAGGAGGATGTGACCCCCAAAGTCAGGCCACGCTAATGGCTGCTGCTGCTGAACAGGCCACGCTAATGGCTGCCTCCGGCCCCTTTCTAGGGCTCTGTCCAGCCCATGAGGCCTCTGTGGGGGCCCCAGGGGGTTTCATCTGAGGCTCCCCCTAGCGATTCAGTTAACCCTTTCGGAGAGAGGATGCTGAAAGGCTTTGTGGACACGTCGGGGACCGAATCGAGAAACGGGATCTTACCCTTACTTGGGGTGTGAGTGGCGTGTTTTCATTTCCGTGTGCAGCCCAGCCACCTTATAACGAGACTGACACGAGCTGTGCCGTCCCTGACTCGAGGCTCAGTGTTAGCTGCGGCTTCGCGGGCGCCTGGACGTGCCGGGGTGGAGGGGTTCTGCTGCAGCCACCTGCCGGTGCCAGGTGTCAGCCATTTTCTGCTTCCTGGCTTTGGAACCCCAACTTGAGCACAGCACATCCAGAGTGCAGCGGCAAGACCCCAGCTCCGCCCTCCTCCCGCAGTGGGGAGCTGGGAGGTGCCCTCAGGCAGCAGAGGAGACGGGCATCCGCCTGTGGACGTGCGGAGGCAGCCAGGAGTGGCCCCTGGAGTGACTGGAGGCCGCAGCGTAGAAGGCACAGGGCTGCTGTCAGGACGCAAGTGTTTACATCGTCCTGTGTTTTGAGCTTATATCCTGGATAGTTTTTTCCAATTTGAAATATTTCTAGACTTTAACAGGTTTCCAAAAGTAATTGGTGCAAAGAATCTCCACACGCCCTCGCTCCCTTAACAGAGCCACGGCACAGGCCTGGGGTCAGGAAGTGACTCCTGCAGCCAGGTGCCCGTGGGAGGCACCTGCATTGCCCTGTGACCCCTCGGGGGCTCCCTGCACCGGGACAGGTCCACAGCCTGCTGCCCCCTCACAACCTTGCTGCTGCCTTCGGAAGGCCCTTGATGTGTCGGTCTGGTGTGTTCTCCAAAATGAAGTTTCTTTTTCTTTTTTCTTTTTTTTTAAAGATTTATTTATTTATGCATACAGAGAGGCAGGGCTGGGTGCAGGCTAGAGGTGCAGGGGTGGTGAGGATTCACCAGAGACAAAGCGGGGAGCAGAACAGGCCGATTGAGGAAGTGCGCTGCTGAGGCGAGCAGTGGCGGGTCAGGAGAGGTCTGCCGCGTCCTGGGGGTCACCTCCGGGGCGGGGATCAAACCCACACTGAAGCGGCTGCCGCCAGCTTGCAGTGCTGTGTCCTAGCCTGTTGCACCACCAGGGAGGGCCCGAAGTCCTTTCTTTTACTTGTTTTATTTGTAGCTCTCTCTGTAAAGAGCCGATTTCTCTTCTCCACTTGTACAGTCATTGCTAGTACTATGGATTCTTGA